ACATTTTGGAAAATATGCATATTCACTTTCTTCTGAGAGCTAAAGCAGAAGAGATCAATACCACTCTTATATCTGTTCATTAAATACGAAGCTGAAACAAACAAGATATAATGTGTTAATTAATTAGCTTTAGAGGTTCTGGTGGATTTAATCTCTTTTGGATAGAGCCAGACTAGCTGTAAAAACCTCTTTTTGCGATTAGTTTGACAGATATTGCGATTGTGATATGATTTACTATTAGTGGGAATGATGATTTTGGCATCACACGTTTCATTTTCACTGAAAAAAACTATTAAAATCATGAGGATTTAACATTTGTTGGGGTCTTTACCAAACAAACATGTTTTTTTACATCTGGAGAACATCATTTGTAGGCCAGGGCATCTCTGCAGTACCACAGTACTTCATTATAATGCTGTTTTATCACAAATTTTACCTTTATCAAAAAATTTTAGCTTCTGCAATTTGAATATTGCACTTGACCACATTGCGATTTAAAAAATTGTGCAGCCCTTATACTGACAATAACCAACTACTCTATTCTTAAGAAAAAGGAAGTTGAATACATTTTAGTGTTTAGTTTAATGGTTTGACTTGATAAACCAGCTTGTACAAAATGTCACACTAAGCATGACACTGCTAATTGTAAAAGGATGATTAAAAGATAGGTTTGTTTTATAACACACAAACATATTTACTTGAACATGTGAACAAAAAATAGAATAGGAGCAAATGAAACTTATAGTCTGCTCTTCACCTTAACAGGAACTTTATGAGTTTGCATCTTTGTGTTGTGACACAGTGTGTGAGCATGTGCACATGTAATCATAAATGTAATCATAATAATAAATATGGCTGGGTGACTTAAATACTTTTTCATTTCATTTCAGTATGAAAAAGTATCAAGCACTCAATGCTGGTGTCAAATGTCTGGTCATATTCATAAACTTCTTTAGTTGTTCTTACTTTCTGTTTCAAATCAAAACGACTAATTGTAAACAATTTAATTCAAAATTATTGTATAATTCGCTAATTGTATACGTTAGCATTAAGCATCTAAAAATAACAAGCACTTTATGCTAGCAGCTCTGTGAGGCCGTATTTAGGCACAACTGTACTTTGAGCTAAATGCTAATATGTTAATAATGACAGTGTTAACATGCTAATGTCAAGTAGGTCTAACAGTAATTAGAACTGAACACAAATTACAGCTGAGAGTGATGGAAATATCATTAGTTGGTATTTGGTCAAACTTTGACCTGATTATAGAACTGAAAGAAAAGTTAAGGGACCATCAAAGTGATTACAATTCATACTGTGAGACACCTGAATGTCTGCACGTAATTTGATGGAAATCCATCCAATAGTTGTTGAGATAGCGGCGTACAGACTCAAAATAAGGGATCAAATACTTATTGTTTTGTTATCTGTACCAAAATTCAGATATTGTACCAGCACTAGTATCAGTACCCAGGCCAGGATATCAATATATATCACAATACTGCAAATATATTCAAGGTATTCAAACTGATGTTTAATGTAATAAACATTACATTACACAAAAGTCTTTATATCTGTTTAAATCTGGGCCTCTGGGGCCAATTTATCTGTTGTGGCTGG